GTGTGTTTCTTCCAACACCACCGAGCAATTAATTCTGACGCTCTCTACCTGCAGATAGCCTCAGATCCCACAGGCTGAGGGCTCAGTCCTCCAACACTGTTTCCCACCCCATAATTCAGATGCCAATCACATGTCCAGAATGTAACCTGTGCTTTTGCAGTGTCGATGGGAGGTCCCCATGACCCCTCTTGGTTCAGTTAATTTTCTAGGACAGATGGCAGAACTCAGAAGCATTTTACTGACTAGATCACCAGTCTGTTATAAAAGAGGTAACTCAGGAACAGCCAGACAGAAGAGATGAATAGAGCAAGTATAGGGTGAGGAGGACTGTGCAAAGCTTCCGCGCCTTCCCTGGGCATCTGTCCCTCTCCAGGTCTCTCTGTGTGTACCAGCCTGGAAGCTCTCCAAGTTGAGTTTTCATGGAGGCTTTATTACAAGGGCACGATTGATTAAATATTGGCCATTGGTGATTGATTCAACCTCCAGGCCCCTGCCTCCTCCCCAGAGGTCAGCACGGTGAGACTGTAAGTCTCAACCCTCCAATCATGTGGGTGGTTCCCCTGACAACCAGCCCCCATCCTTAGGTGCTCTTCAAAAGTCACTTCATTGGGGTGCCTGTGTGGCTCAGTGGGTTGAGCATCCGGCTTCTGCACAGGTCATGATCTGAGTTTGTGAGTTCGAGTCCCATGTCGGGCTCTGTGCTGACAGCTCAGAGCCTGGAGCCTGCAATAGATTCTGTGTCTCCCTCTTGCTCTGCCTCTCCCCCACTCACACACACTCTCTCTCTCTCTCTCAAAAATAAATAATGTTAAAAAATTTAAAAAATAAGTCACCTCATTGACATAAACTCTGGTATGGTAGGAAGGAGTTTGTTATGAATGTCAGAACACCTTTCTTGCTCTTATGGCTTAGAAAATTCCAAGGGTTTTAGGAGCTCTGTGCCAGAAACTAAGACCAAATATATATTTCTTATTATAAATCATAGCACACACAGTAAGCTCCAAAAGTGTCCTTTCCCTTCTTTCTCTTCTCATCCTTTGGATATGATTATCTCTTCAAATTCCTTCCAGCTCTAATTTAAATGCAAACTAGACACTCTTTGTAAGCTGAGAAATCTACAGGTACTAGGATGCCAGCTATGAGTTCTGACCACTCAGACTCGATGGTGAAGGCTCAGGGGTCATCGAGGCAGGTTTTAGGCCCTTTTCAACCTCTGAGCTTCTCTTGGCCATTGTGGTTCAAGTGCTTCTGTATAGATTGTAGACAACTCAGTGCTACAACCAGCCTTTTACGTGTCAGAGTTCCAGAACTGATATACTGTCAGAACAGATGGGCTTTGCCAAATCATCTCCCATCTTGATTTATGGAAAGGGTTTTGCCAGATGGACTTGGATGAGAAATTCAGATCAGAAACCACCTTTCTAACACCTGTTAGAATGTTTGAGTTAAATATCATGCCCTCTGAACTTAGAAATGCACCTGCCTGTCTCCAGTGACTGGTTTAATGGTATGTTAAGAGGTCTGGAGCCATTTGCCTTGGCCTTTGCCGACAGGCGGTGTGGCTATATTTGGTCAGGATGCAGGTGAACATCTAAGACAGGTCTCGCTGATGTTGAATTTAGGCCTCCAAGCCAAGTGTAGGATATGATTTACTAAATGCCATTTGGGGCCATAGTGCCTGGGTATTCATCACGAGGTAGTCTTGTGGGATAAAATAGGAGTAATCAGAGTCTGGTCCCCTCCTGCAGCTAGGAAAGAAAGGTCATTTTGAACTGCCTGGATACCAGATAGGTTTTATCATGTCTTGTTTTAGGATTCTGGCTGGGTTTCTTATCACCTCCGATGCAGGCAAGCAACCTGATCTGAACCTTGTAGGGCAAGGAGCTTTTAAAAGGAAACTGTTTCTGATTACTTTCCCAGATGTGTGAGCCCCAGACTTTTCACAAGCGTCCATCCTGGCAGGGCCCCGTGGCTGTGCAGGAAGGACGGGGGCCAGCCTGCATGGATAAGGGAGCTCCTTCAGCAGCATGGCCAGAGGGAAAAGCAGTCTGCTGTCCAGCAGGAACACTAGCCATGAACTGTCGGTGAACACCAACCATAGACCACTGGCCAGTAAACCTTGGCCAGTAAATTGCTTGAGATTTTACAAAGCCCTGACGGTGATTTTCAGAAGGGGTCATGGGTGTGTCACGATCCCCGAGATCAGCAGGGACTTATTGCTGGGTAAGGGGAAAACTTCGGCACTGAATATTTCATGGGCACACTGGGAGCCTTTAACAAACACTAATGCTCTGAGATTCTCTTTAATGGCTCTTGGGTGGGACCTGCGTCGTGACCGCAGTGCGCAACCAGGGTTGAAAACCACCGCCAAGGAAACAACATAGTCGGACTCAGATCAAGATCATAGTTTGACAGCGGAGGGAGGGAAACAGTGGGCTTGGCATGTTCTATTCCAGATACAAGGGGGCATGAGGGAAAGAAGTGGGACAAGCCCCTTTAAGCTGTGAGCCTCTGAGGCTAATGAGATTAGAAGGCTGGTTGCAGAGAACTTTCTTTGCAGGGTAATAGTGAGGGGAAGAAAGAGTTTAGTCATAGCCATTAGTGTGATACTTACTGGCAGGAAAGTAAATATACTTTTATCACGTCTGTATCTGTAATCCTCCCAGGGGCTGAGGTCCGAGGTTTTCTGCTTGACTGAGGGCAGCACTGATATGGAATTCTGCTAGGGCAAACCGATCATCCCAAACTGCCTGATGGGCAAGCAATGAATTAATTAATGGAAGTGACCACATGACACACCCCCATGAAAATAATATTGTCATTAAAAGTAAAAAATTGTGCAGAAAAGTGAAAAAAGTAAATGGCATTTACAGCCCCACATCCAAAAAAATAATGTCTATAAATCCTTCTGGACATACCATAATAGAAAATAATAATTTTATATAAACAAGGATCCTGGTTTGTTTGGCTTCTTTTTCTTCAAATGTTGAGCTGTGGGTCTCTTGCCACATCAGTAAATAGGCCTCCATCAGTTTTAAAGGCTGAATAGTATTTCATCATGTGGATGAGCCATTTTTTTAATCCTTCTTTGTTGATGGACATTTAGGTCATTTCCAATTCAAAGCTGTAAACAGTGAGATAAAGCACCTTGTACGAGTGCCTTTGAGATCTGCATCCTGCTGTGCTGATCTTCCTTTCTTAGGTGGTTGCTTAGCCGGAGGGTGGAAATGACAAAAGCCCATGTTCTCCCACTGCACTGCTCACAGCTTATTGTGTTATAATTTACCTGTTATTTGCTTTTGTGTTTCCTTATTCCCCTCCTCCTACGCAGTCATAATGGGCTCTTTGGTGAGGGGTAGAGTGCACTGTACTAATTTAGCCCCACCCTTTCTCATTATTAGAATGTGCAGAGTTGAAGTTGCTTCTGAAAGTATATTGGCAGTCAGAAGGGCCCCTGATTCTGAGCAGCTAATGAGAAACCCACTCTGGCTGTGTCATTCCAAATGTTACCATAATGGTGAGGTTTCATTGTGTATTGGGTTGACGTGAAGTGGTGGGAAAAATTCCTCTTTGCCTTCTTTTAAAAAAATTATGTTGAGGAACACCTAGGTGGTCAGGCGGTTAAGCATCCGACTTCGGCCCAGGTCATGATCTCCTAGTTCATGGGTTCAAGCCCCGCATTGGGCTCGCTGCTGTCAGCACAGAGCCTGCTTTGGATCCTCTGAGCTCCACTCTCTCTTTGCCCCTCCCCCCACCCTCAAAAATAAATAAACTTAGGGATGCCTAGGTGGCTTAGTCTGTTACGCATCGACCTCGGTTCAGGTCATGATCTCACAGTTTGTTGGTTCAAGCCCCGTGTTGGGTTCTGTGCTGACAGCTCAGAGCCTGGGGACTGCTTCAGATTCTGTATCTCCCTATCTGCCCCTCCCCCACTCACGTTTTCTCTCTCTCTCTCTCTCTCTCTCTCTCTCTGTCTCTTCCTCTCTCTCTCTCAAAAATTAAAAAAACATTAAAAAATTTTAAAAAAAATTATACCGAGGGGCCCCTGGTTAGTTAGTTGATTACGAGTCTGACCCTTGTTCTCAGCTCAAATCTTGATCTCCAGGACATGAGTTCAAGCCCTGTGTTGGGCTCTGAGCTAGGCGTGGCATGTACTTAAAAAAAGTTACATCAAGCATGTATTTATTTCTTAAGAATCTAATATGGGACTGCTGGGTTCCATGCTCGGAGCCTGGCACGGGCAACGGAAGTGATTGAAGTGCACCATCCCTGCCCTCCAAGGGCAGAGGCCAGAAGCATAATGGTCCTAAATGCTGTTTTCCATGGAAGTCAAGCTGCTGAGTCTCGTCAGAACTGTAGTATCAACAACAGAGACATTATAGAGAAACTTGCGTATGAGAGAAATGGTTTTGCGATTTCCTGGGGGTGGTAGATAGGACCCAAGTGTTTTTCTGATGAAAATGAGAGGAAGTTGGAATGTCCTCATTGACCAGAGCACAGTTATCTCTGGCAAATCCCTGCCCGCCTTCCCATCTTCCTTGGGGGTCGTGAATTTTGGCTTTACAATTTTAGCATTGCAAACGACAAAGCTACAAGACCCATGCGTGATCAGAGATTCCTGGCAGTGTGGCTCGTGGTCTTTACTATACTGATGGTGACTTGGGATAGTTGCCGAAGTTTGAGCGTGATTTGAGAAATTCAGCTCTTCAGACTAGAAGAGCCTTCAAAGATCAGTTAGTTACAGCTCTTTGAAAAAGAGACACCTCTTTGAAAAGCTAACTTTCCCAAGAAAAAAATGTACTTAATGTGCATAAGCACAGATTTTTTTTTTTTTAAATACCATCCCAAGCAGTTTGCAGATCCCCAACCTCAGAACCCTGATCTGGTCCATTGCCTGGTTTTATGGGGAGAATTACTAAGGTTTATAGAGGAGGGTAAATGTGGGCTCTATATGGTCTTGCTCATGAACTATTCCTAAAGAAACTTTTTCTTTCTTTCAGCACTGGCTGGACCATTCCAAACCCATAAAAAAGCAGATGAAAAGTAAGTAAGCAGAACTTAGCCTACTCACTTATTTCTTTTATCAGAGAGTAAAACTCCTTTGCCAGTGTTTTGAGGTATTATGTTTTCATCAGAACTTGGGAGCGTTTTAAAATAGATTCAGTTTTAAATGAATGATTTTTCATTTCTTAAGGCTGGCCAAATGTTAGAGTTTAAAATTTGGATAAGAGTTTTCGGTAGATATTAAAAAACAGACTATGCTCTCATTTGAAATCAGGCACCCCTGCCAATGAGAACTGATTAATATGCTCTTCACAAGCATGACTTTACGCCTATTATATTCATTTTCTAATGAGTTGTAAAAGTAGACTCAGAGAATGGGAAAGCAGGAGTTTTTGACAGTCTGGTCCAGCTCTCTGGTTTTACGGGTGCAGTAACCGCATTTCTTCAGTGTTATTTATGCATGGGTAATTTTTAAAAAGTGTAATACTTTAAAGTGTTCTTACTGTATTTTTGGATTACGGAACCCTTGCTGTTTATATGTCACTTTCCTTTAGCCCACTTAGTATTTTGTAAAAAGTTAGTATCTGTTTGGAATATCTTGGCAATTGGGTGAAAGTAAAATGTCAGCTCTTAGTAATTCATCTACATGGTTAGGGTTTTATTCCAGAATAAGTTACTAGCTAAGCCGTCTTTGTCAATGCAAAAGTACATTTTAGTCTTCCAAATGAAAGGATTGAAAAGAACTCTCTAGCTGTGTATGTCCCTTTGTGCCCTTCCGGTAGCAGTGAATGTATTACTAGATGTAACATGTGTTTCCTTTTGTCCATTCTGTGATCTTCAAAACTGGGGAAAAACATCTTCAATGTTCCATCTCCCTATGTTCAGTTGGACCTGCTTATGCTTTGCACTTTCGAGTTAAATATTATTCTTCGGAACCGAACAACCTTCGTGAAGAGTTTACAAGGTAGGACCAGATGCAGAACATGACTCCCTCTCCACTGTAGTACTTACCTTATAACTTATGGGTCCTCTAAATTTGGGGTCCGCCTGCTCTTCTCTCTGCTGACTTTATATGCTGAGCAAGAGCTATTCGTATTTCCCTTGTGCTTATCCCTGTATTCTGTTGAAAATCTACCCTTGGCTTAGTTTGACCTTTTTCCCAGTGAATCAAAATTAAAAGATTTATTTTCCGATCACATTTCTGTTTTGTGGGGCTGTTGGATAAACTGGTTACTCGTTCCAAGGCACTTTATTTTTGTCTCAGGTACAAAAAGGGAAGGCAGGTATTAGAAGAGCATTTCTCAGTCCCAAAACGCCATCTTATTTTTTTTAAGGGGCTGCGCAATGTTCCCTTGATTGCTACAATATCAAAGTTGTTGGAATCCCTTCATGTCATCTTTCAGCCCCATTGACTTTCTTTTAAGGTGTGCCCACGAGTGTCTGCCCCTCCAACTTCAGAAACAGTGTTGAAGCAAAAGAGGCTTTAAAAACATTTTAAGTATGGCATTTCTCTCCAGCCACTCCTCTGTCAGCAAGATCCTCTACCCAACCTTCGGCTGCTTTGAATGTCCCCAGAACCCCCTTGTCATTTGTGTGACCGGCAGTAGTGACGACATGTCAGCCCCTGGTGGTGGCCACTCACCTGGAGATGACCACCTGACTAACACTTTAAAGACTGCTTATCACCATTCCCTGCCCTGGACAGGCCTACTGGGCTTCCACGGTTAGGTTTTCCTATAGGAATTGCAAGTTCTGGCTGTATTCTGCACAGTATTCAGCACCGTGTGTTCTCTCCTTGATGCGAGTACTCAGTTCAGTGGTGGTGAAGCAGCTGTCAGAAGCAGGAACAGTCTAGAATATACTAGAACCTTCAGCTCCCCGATCCTTTGATCTCTGGGTCACTCACATTCTCCTGTATCCATTCCAACAGAGAGTGACTATCTGCATTGTTTTCAAAGTTCAAGTAGATTATTCTAGAGTTCCTCTTCAGAGTCCTTTATGAAACGTGCTCCTTCTAGCCATCATCCAAGCTATTGATTCTTAACCAGGGTTGTGTGAATCAGAAACACCTAGGAAGCTTTTGAGCAAATCACATTCCTGGGGACCACTCTTGCATGTAAGACTGATTCCATAGGTATGGAGCAGAGCGTGGGTAGCTTTGGCTTTTACAAAGCACTATAAGTGGCTCTGTTGCCCACGTCCTCCTGGTAAAAAAGAAAAAAAAAACAGTTAAGCAAAAACACTTAATTTTGTTTTTTTACTTAGGTGAACTCCACTTGTGTTATTTGCTGCCTCCTCTCCCCATTTCTCATTACCCCATAACCCGCTGCAGCCCAGTTCCAGGATTTTTGTTTTGCATGCGTGTGTGTGTGCACTCATGAGTGCATGTACGCTTGTTTTTTTTTTAAAGACAGAGTCTGCAGTTAACCTGCATCAGAAAAAAGCCTCAAGCAGTTGCTAACTACGGTCAGCTGTAAACTTTCTGATACCAGCAGCTGCACTCTTCCCGGAATCTGCTGGTGGGACTGGCTGAGGGCCAAGTCCAGTGGCTCCTCCCTGTCTGTCTGATTGGACACGTTGCATGCCTGCGTTTGAGCTCTCTTCTCAAGCTCCAAGGGTGCTTCCGAGGCCATCATTGGACTGTAGAGTGTGTTTCACGTTCCATCCCCCAAGTATCTTGCGAACCCTGTACATGCACTCACCTGCCTAGCTAGGTTCTGGGATGTCTTCCTGGAGACTCAGGAGGAGATGCTTCCACCAACGTCCTCATTTGATTCGGACTCCTTGTTACAATGCAGAATTCTGGGCTGTGTGCGGGGCGGGATTTGTGATGGGAAGTTGGGGATTGGAAGCGGTTGGAAAAGAGTATGCCTCTGTTGACTTTTCTGTATGTTTGTCAGGTACCTGTTTGTTTTACAACTCAGGCATGACATTCTTTCAGGAAAGTAAGTATGTTTTTGTTCTAACTCTTAACCCGGGATAGATCATAGTGTATTTCTAAATCACTGTTGTTGTTGTTGTTGTTTTAACTCTTTTACCCTTGTTCCCTTTTCAAAATTCAAAAAAAGTACACCAGGCATTGTAAAGTGAGTCTAATCCTTGTATCGCTGTCATCATCATCTTATTTTAAATGATTACTATATGGCTTGAAGCATTTCCAAGAGCATTTAATATCTTAAGTGATGTGCATTTGGGAATACTTCTCTCCCTGATCACATCACTGCCCCATTCATAATGGCTTTTGTCGTATTTGCAAGCAAGATACGTTATTAGTATGTATACACTTACAAGTATTTGGAGAGTCAGAAGTCTCATTCATCACCATCTGCATTTAAACAACGTAAAGAGGTTACGTTTTGATTCTGATAGGAGGTTTAGACATCTCATCTCATTTCCTTTTCCCCTTCTTAAAAATGGTTTTTCAATACCAGACCTCTGGCGACAGTGATTGTTGAGCCCAAGAAGCATTGGCATTGACGTGGTTGGTCTCGCGTGCAGTATTTATTTTAAAGATAACAAAATTTCAGTGGTCATAGCCTTCACAGTTGTGTCATTTCTCAGCATACGTATCGACTATTTTCTATTACATGAAAAATGAAGACTCTGCCAAGTGTAAAAAGCGATACCTGACGTTGATGAGAACACATTTTGATTTTGAATACAACCTGAAAGAAATTTGAAAAGTGATTTCCGAATTTGCAAACTCTGAATCGCACGTAGGCTTTCAAAACCTTAGTGGAATCTATATGACAGCACAAGTAGATTGTACAGTGTATACATTTGCCTTATTCAGCCATGCAATACAAATCTCAGTGTGTGTATTATGAGTGTGTGTGTATTTTTATCTTTCTCTCTTTCTCTCTGCATACTGTGCTCCTCGTACTAAAGGCCTCTTAATTCCCGTAATTGTCTTCAGTTTGGAAAAATATTAATGGCGACGTCTTACATTTATACAGTACTTTGCAGTTTACGCGCACTTCGGCCAGATTGACGGTACTTCCAGGCGTAATGGCCTTCTGGTCCAGCACTGCCTGCTCCCAGCTGGGTGACCTTGAGCAAGACACTTGGTCACTGAGTTCCTCGTCTCTGAAATGGGGGATGGGGGAGCACTTACCTTAGCCGTTCATAAAGTCCATGCATTGACCAAATTTGATAGTATATTTGAAAAGGCTTTAAAAACTATGAAGTGCTGTACCAATGTATGTCATTATTATTTTTCTAACTGAATTTGTAATATCAAGTATGAATGAGATCAGTGATTGGAGGCGTGGTAATATGCCTCTGTGGCTACGCCTCAGTCATACTTATTAGAACGCTTGAGTGTATCCAGCTGTCCTGGCAGTATTAGATATTGTGTCTGTCTGTTTATTTTTAACATTATGACCTGGTTTCAAGAAAGAGTTCAGACAGCTTGAAAAGGCGCATGTACTCTATCAAGTAAGTTTCAAAATCCTAAGGCAGAGGGAAGGCTTTTCATTCTATTTCCCAAACTTCCCCATTCTTGCCAAATTCAGTAAAATTGCCCACAGAGTTGATAGAAACTATACTTAGATTGTATCGTTTTGCTCTATGGTGAGAATTGACTTTGGGAAATAGGGAGTGGAAATCAGCTTGTTTGCATTCTTTAATGTGGACAGCAGAAATAGAAACCACCGAGAAAAATCATTACCTAAATAGCACTACCTTTTGAAAAATGACTCTAATGATATTTTGTATGCTTATGAGTATTAAAAGTTCATGTATGGAATTCATTTCCTCTCTTTTTTTCAAGACTGAAATGCCCATATGAAACGGCTGTGGAATTAGCTGCTCTCTGTCTACAAGGTACCTTATTCTTTAGTGGTAATTAGCATTTTAATGTTATGCTCTCGTTTTAGCAATTGATTATCCTGTGTACCAGGCACAGTACCCTACTTTGGGGGTATAAATAAATACAGTATGGCCTCCGTCCCCAAGTAGCTTCGGGTTCCATGAGGATGTGGCACAACCACATCCAGGGTACAGTGCAGTTCCCTCAGGAAGACTTGCAGGAGGCTTGGAATACTAAGGCCCTTTGGGGGAGGAGTGGATGAAAACAAATGAAGGAATCAAGACAAAAGGTAGAGAAGTGCAGAGGGGTACTGGTAGTCAAATGGTGTTGGAGGGTGGAAGTTCAAGAACCTGGATAAGTGGACAACCTTGAACCCTATTTAAAGAGCATGACCATGCTGTCAGCAGTAGGACTTTGAAGGCTCTCAAGAGGGAGGCAGACCTGGTCAGGTGTGCATTTAGAAAGGCCCCACTGGGTGTGATGGGGAGGTAGGACTGGACCAGGACCGGGGCTGGGGGTGCAGTAAGAAGGTGTTGCAGTAATAAAAGGAAACTCTCTAGGGCAGGGGGTACACACACACACACACACACACACACACACACACCCCAAAAGAACAACATTAGTGGTACAAGAGAAGGACGTGGTCATTACACATCGGTGTTGAGAGAGGAGTCAGGCAAGAGTCATAGATAGCTCCCAAGAGTGAGTGACAGGAGCCACAAATGGTTAGAAGAATTGGCTGCAAGGGAGGAGATCATCTACGTAGGACCTCTTGGCTGAGAGGTGCCAGTGGGACCTCTGGTAGCTTCTTGAGCGTGCAGATCTGGCTCCGTCAGAGAGGTCAGGCCACGAGCATTGACAAGGAGTCATCTGCTTATAGGTAGGAGTTAGATGGTAGGAGGTTTGCCTACATGATTTTCAGTGTTGACTGTTCCATATTATGCACTGGTGGATTTGAGTTTAAAATGCACAAGAAACACTTGCTGAAGTCTTCAGCATTAATTAAGAAGACACTAACGTGTAGCTGCACATAAGGAATGTTATCAGTACATCACATAGGCATATGTTGTGGATTCATTTTACCAGTGTGTTCATCAGTTTCTCTGGGATAATGAATTATGATGTATTCATTCATAATTACTAATTAATTTTGAACACCATAAGATTTGGCTTCCAACTTTTGTATTTCCCAATTTTTAAAAGTTGATCTAAGTCTTCAAATTCTGAAATCAGCACACATTTATTACAGAGTATCAGGAGAGCAGCACAATAGTCAAGACAAGTAGAAGGAAGGAAGGAACCCATCATCCTGCCATCCGCAATCAGGGTTTCTATGAGTTGGATGCAGTTTTTAAAATGTAATTCTGATCAATCATGTACAATTTTTAATATGATTTTCTACTTCGTATTTTTAGTTCTTGTATTTTGTCATGAAGATGGTTTTTAATGACAGCAAGACACTTCTGTTCCTTAGTCACTTTTTAATTCTTATTCTTTAATGGGGGCTTGCATATAGTAGGTGCTCAGTAAGTATAGAATGAATCCATTAGAGTTGGAGAGGCCCTTCAAAGACTTTGGTTGAAGGGGGAGCCTGCCCATGAGGTCTGAAACCATAGGTGGTAGAGGTGACAGTCTTGTCATCTCTAAATACCTATGCCAAATACAATGCTAAGTGCTTCACATCTACATTTTCCTGATTCAACAGTCCTTGTGGTAAGTGCTATAGGGATCTGTAACGGCTTGGGGAACATGGACGTCTGCTCTCCATTTTGGCCAGGTACAGATCTCACCAGCTGGCCAAGCAGCATCCGCTCTAGAGTTTCTGAGGCTCCAGGAGGTTATACCCTTTGGCTTGGTGGCCCAGCAGTAGACATCAGGTTGTGGTTAAATGGGATGAAGTCACATCCCTGTCAGACCTGGGGCCATCGATCACTGGTCCTGAACGACTAGAGCATAAGGCACATATATCACCATCTTTCCCCACTCCCATCCCCTGCCCCACTTCCCGCCGTGTGATGAAGGCATCACCACACTCACAAAGTCCAGCTCTGGTAGAACCATTTGCCTTGCTCCAGGGCCAAGGCAGATGTGAATGAGATCAGCTATCTGTGAGCCTTTCTTGGGGAAATTACCCCTTTGAGTTGGAACTACAACATCGTGTAATTTAAGATGCAGTCATTATCTCAAGTACAAATGAAAAGTCTGAAGTGGGGAACAAGTGGGGAAGTTCTTGTTACATTGTCCCTCCGTGGCCCCTTCTCCCCACATCCCATCGGAAAGTGCCACAGCCTACTTTCTAGTTGAATCACAGTGGAGCCAGCTTGCGTCAGAACATCGAGATCACTGGAGCATCTCAGGTTTCAGTAAAATGGAGGGTGTGTTTCCTCCCTTGCTTGAGCCTTGAAGACATGTTCTTGCTGTGATCGTCCTTAAATTAATGGTGCCCCTCCAGAGTTGCGGCCCCAAGTGAAGGCGGTGCCCTTTGGGGGACTAGTTTTATGATAGATTTGAAGGTGAATCCAGGCAAAAAGATTGAGAGTGAGGAGAACGGGACACGATCTTCTTTTGTCCTTGCAGCAGCTCTCATTTTACCGATGAGGCATCAGAGACGGAGAGTGGTTAAGTGACTTGCCCAGGTCGCACAGACAGTGTACAGCAGAGTGCAGATTCCGGCCCTCCTGTGTCTGAGCTGTGATCGCCACCCTCTGCACCCTCCACGGCCAGAACTCAGGCAGAGAAGTGTCGTTCTGCCTCTTGGAAGGCAGGCGTGCTATCTCAGAATCTATGTACAGGCATCGCTTGGGCCTGTTGTAATCCAGGAACAGTGAGGAGGATACTGGCCCCCTTTCCCGGTCTCGGGGAAACCTTATCACTGTCTGGCTTCTCCTTCCTGTGCTTGATGATGTTAGTGGTCTCGCCAGACACACTGCTCATCCCAGGGATTTGTTGCCTCACTTTGGCCCACGGGTGCAGCAGAAGGGTGGTTCATGTGAAGGAGATCTCTCCCCAGACTGCCCCTCTAGCCTCGCCAGGTCTCTGGTTTCAGGGTGAGCTCTTGGTTATTGGTCAGTGGCGGCCTTGGGAGCCTAGCCCTTTTACCTTCTCTGGGTGAATATTTCTAGAGCAGAATCTTCATCTGTGACTTTGCCCAAGGTACTAAGTAGCTGCACGCCCTGACCCAGGCCACCCTGGTGGTCTTCGGGGGGCCGTCCACTTGAGAGTTGCAAATGGAGGGCTTGGGTCAGGTGAGGAAGCACTCAGCAGGTCCCCACCCTGTGTCAGGCATTGCCTCTTACAGCCCTCCCACCACCCCGCTGAGTTGGGTAGTTGCTTTGTCTGTATGGACAGAAAAGTTTCATCCGCTTCTGCAAGCTACTTGGAGTCCCTCCTGGAAGCTGGGCTCTGGGATTAGAAAAGACTGCTGGGTACTTAGTGAGTTGCTATTAGCAACACACGCTGGCCAATCAGTTGTAGGATTTCTTGTGTTAAGCAGTGTTTCTCAAAGTGTGTTCCTGGGTCAGCTATAGCAGCAGCATCTGGGAGCTTGTTAGAAATGCAGATTCTCAGGCCTTATTCCAGACCTGTGGGATCAGAATCTTGGAGGGTGGGGTGCCACAGTGTGTGTTTTAGCGAGCCTTACGTTTCCAACATAAGTTGGAAAACCAGTGTTGTAGATCCGTGCTTTTCAAAGCAGCCTGTGTGCCAGTCAGCTGGGCATCTGGTGAGAAGGCAGGTTTTGCTTCAGGAGGTCTGCAGCGGAGCCTCAAAGTCTGCGTTACGAGCAGGCTCCCAGATGGTGCTGATGCTGGACCAGGCTTTGTGTGGCAGGGTATTAGAGAAACCTCTGGAGGGTTCCTTTCTGTTCTGGGGTCTGTTCCCTGGAGCTGCAGGGGTGGGGGTCCCGGGTGGGGAGAGTGGATTTTCTCATCTGTGCCTTGGAGGCACGGGGCCCCCTCTGTCCTGGGCCCTTCATTCTGTGGGGTCCTCGGCCAGAGAGAAACTAGCGTGTGGGACACTTGGGGCCTTTCTGCGGAGACCGCTCACGTGGCTGCTCCTCTCTGCACAGCCGTCTTCGTCTTCCTCCCTGTTCTGGCTGAGTTGCCGCAGCTGCTCCTGCAGCCTTGTCCCCCCCCTCCCCCACCCCCTCCTTCCTTCCCTCCCTCCCTCCCCCCTCCCTCCTTCCCTCTCCCTCCTGGCATATTTTCCCCTAGATTCTACATGCACTGAATTCTTGATTGGTCCTCTCTAGCACTGCAGACTCGGAGTGCTGCTCCGACCCACCCGTAGCGAGAGCCCTGTTAGATGTTTCTGGGCAGGTCCTCCTTCCCTGCAATTGCCTTTTATTGCAGATCTGGGCTCGACCACTTCGTGGGGGAAATATAATCTGGGCCTCCTTGGGTATGGGGGAATAGTGGAGAGAAAGACGGTAATAACTGAGATAATGGTGTTTTGCCCGATAGGGAGGGCATTGGGATGATTCTTGGGGGTTCTGAACGTACACATGGGGGCACCAGGTGGGAGTTGAGCCCTCCTGAAAGCAGGGAGTTCTGCATGTGGGGGTACCTGTGCTCTGTAATCGTGCCAACTGCCTTTGGACCTGGTTGCAGCAATAACTGAAAGCATTCAATGTCTCCTGTTTTCCTCCCTTTTATGAAACTCGCAGCGGAGCTGGGGGAGTGTGAGCTTCCAGAACACACGCCAGAGCTTGTGTCTGAGTTTCGGTTCATTCCAAATCAGACAGAAGCGATGGAATTTGATATCTTCCAGAGATGGAAAGAGTGCAGGTACCTTGATGCTACCGTCTAGCGTTCTGATATATTTATTTTGTGATGTGTCAGCGTCTCTCGGACTCAGATGTGCCAGTAGAATCGCTCTGTCGAAGACCGTAAAACTGTAGCTCCAACTCTTCACTTCTCGCCTGTGCCTCAGTCCTGGTTTTCCCAAGGCCCACACGACGTCTGTCTTTCCCAAGATGTACAGTAAGGACCAAAGCCTAGTCCCGTTTCCCTCTGAATGGCAGAGCCTGGTCCTGATTTGCTCATTACTGTCGCGGACACCGCTGCTCTCCTGGCCTCCTGGAGAGAGTGAGGAGGCTCCGCCTCGGTACATTCCCTGTGCCTGAATCTTCTAGAGTGGACCCTTTGGAAATATGCCCTGTTGTCCCTCACAGGGACACTCGTATTTGAGACCATGTGTTGTAGAGGTTCTGTTCCCGGACATGTGGTCACCAGAGCTAAATCGAGCCTTGTCCGTTATATGCTGGCTCTTCCCTCCTCCTCCCCAGGGTCACCCTAGGCTGACAGGTTTCTGCCTCGATTACCAGTGCTGCCTTTCCTCCCTCCCAGCCCACCTTCCCAAACTCTGCCCGATCCAAGTCCGTCTTGGACGCAGAAACTTAGCGTGGTTTCCTCTTGTCCCTTGGCCGTTCTGAGGGACATAATGACTTTTTTGAAACTGGGAAGTGATGTTAGCCCAGTCTTGTGCCACATCCAAACAGTAGAGGAATATGTGGGTGGAGAGTCACAGGGCCCACACCCTGTGCACACACACCCACTGTCCTCGCTGCGGGCCATCGTTGTTGGCAGTCAGTGGTGCGTCTTTCCAGCTTTCCTGCTTTGCATATACAGCACATACCCGCGTCCATGCACAAAAATGGTTTCTGTAAGTGTCCACGTTGTAAGCACTGCTGTCCTCTTTCTATTCAATGAACAGTCTGTCCATGGAGGTCTTTTCCTGTTCACATAAATTGGTGTCCCTCATTCTTTTAATTGCTACAGAGGATCCCTGAATGTGGCTGTGCCCTTCAGAATTCTGTGGGTGTACGAGCTGCAGTTTACATGTATTTCCATTGGTTTTTCTAAGGGGAAAGAGCCCTGCCCAGGCGGAACTGTCCTATCTGAATAAAGCGAAGTGGCTGGAAATGTATGGGGTAGACATGCACGTTGTCAGGGTAAGAACCGTGTGCGTTTAAGTAACGGGGTTTCTTGGGTTTCGCTGTGACTGAGCCATGCGTAAACTATGTGCAAACAAAGTAACGTGGTGAGGAAACTGTTTTGCATTCTGCTCTGTGACGACCTGTTAGAACCCTCTACCGATTGTCACTTCGTTTATTTGTAGGGAAGAGATGGCTGTGAATATTCTCTTGGACTGACCCCGACAGGCATATTAATCTTTGAAGGAGCTAACAAAATAGGCTTATTCTTTTGGTAATCTAGTTTTGTCTAATATTAAAAATGTCTTTTCCTATTTTGTGGTGGAATTCTATGTGATGGATGATTATTGAGGGATATTTGCAACTCCGAGATTTGCTTTAAAAACACACCATGCTCCCGTACGCGCGGGTGTTTGGCAGTGGCACTGACTTCTGGATAATCACGCTTGAATGAATGAATGATTTCTGTAGCAAATCTAAGCTTAAAAAGTAGAAAGGAAAACTGCTGTTTGTGTAGATAGTTTTCCTGCGGATTGTGCTTTTAAAATGTTTTCTCTCTGACCAGGCCAAAAATTACCAAGATGGATTTTAAAAAGAGCAAATTGACATTGGTGGTAGTGGAGGATGATGATCAGGTAAGCCTCGCTCCTGGCTGTCCTCCTGGCTGCAAATAATCCTTCACTGATGTTCCTGGCCCCCACTGAGACGCGAACCTTGTGCTTCACCTCAAAGGGACGGGAGCAAGAGCACACATTTGTCTTCCGGCTGGACAGCGCCAGGACCTGTAAGCACCTCTGGAAATGTGCGGTCGAGCATCACGCCTTCTTCCGCCTGCGGACGCCGGGAAATAGCAAATCGAACAGATCAGACTTCATCCGGCTGGGGTCTCGCTTCAGATTCAGGTGGGCACTGGTTTTTACAACGTGGATGCCGTGTTTCGAAGGAGGGCAGCAGTGATGCTTTTTGTGAATGGATCTGTGTGTCCGGAGGCTTGAGTCGGGTGTCCTGTTTTTGCTTCTTTTGTAAGATCTGACCTTTGGTTGAGTCCCCGGAGCTGTTTTAGCCTCCATGCCCTCATTGATAAAATGGGGCTAATAACAAAATTGTTAATAGCTGACATGTAGCTGGACCTGTGCCATCTCAAACAGTAGATAATGTGGCCATTGAGATTAATTAATATTAAGTAAATTTTAAAATGTGGTTCCTCTGTCTCACTCACCACACATCAAGCGCTCAGTGCACGTGAGGTGGGTGGCTGCCGTAGTGGGCGGGGCAGACGTAGAACACAAGCTGTGCTAGAGCTTTTCATGAACCCATGTATAATCCTCCCTGCAGACTTAATGAGCTAGGTCCTCTGACTATCTCCACCGTACAGATGAGGAAGCCAGGGCTGAGGGGTTACACAATCTGCCCAGCGTCACAGTAAGTGGCAGAGCTGCGAGTCAACCCCAGACAGTCTGGGGCTTCTGTTCCAACCCCTCCTCTCTTGCCTTTCGTGTGCCGGCATCAAGAAATGTGTCGATGATTAAGAATGAGAGCAGATGTCCCCCCATGTGTGTGCAGGGGATCCCGGATAGGCTCGGTAGATATTGGAATCTGAAGAGACCTTGAAAACATGGAGAATTTAATTGTTCACATATTTTTACTTAACGATTGTAAGGCCATGTCTTTCAAGATACGTGAAACCTCCTTGGGGTTTTATTAAAAACGGGGATTTATGACCTCATCTGAGACCCTTGTAATCAGAATCAATGGGTGCACCCATGTGCATTCATGAATAAGGCCTGGGAATGTGCATTTTAAGTGCCCTCCCAGGGTTGATTTCTGAGGCCTGTTTACAGATCTGAGAATCACTGTTATAAGCTCTAAAATTTCACATGGTTTCATAACCTCTGCCCACACATGGCATGTCCTTGAATGCCCTTTCATATGCCAAAAGATGTGTTCTTTTCAGATTTATCTACCGTGCAAGGAAATGGCTGTTGGGGTGGTTGCCAAGGCAGACTTTTCCATCCTTGGAGGAAACTCCCCCAGGATTTGGTCCAGACCAGGCACCCTCCAGAAGACGGAAGGGGAGTTTGGAGACAAGGTTGCCCCTTGGAGGCACTTAGAGCAGGTGGCAAGTGTCCCCTTCCTTGTGATAAATCATCAACCGAGAGTAGGGCCGGAATGAAGCAGTGATCAATCAGATAAAAACAGCATACTTCCCGGAAGCTACGTTGCTTGAAACCCAGAAAGCCTTGGTGAAAGAAGTAATGATTCCCCTGGCATAGCAAGGAAAGCCAGGGTTTAGTTAAGTGGTCACCGATAACAGCATTTTATAATACTTAAATGTCTACGTAATGTGTGTTATGAAATGTTATTTGATTTGTGAATCATTGTGCTCTCAGTCAGATGTGGCAAGTACTTGGACCTGCCTGGTTTGTGCAGCCAAGTGACTGGTACCTAAATTGCGGACTTTGTCTCTTGGTGGAAATATCTGCCCCTGTCATACAGCTTGGATTTGGCAGAGGTGATTTTATTGCTAAATGGAAGGCTAAATTTAGTGTGTGTCTTTACCAAACGAGTTCACGATAAGTTGAAATTTACATTGGAGCTTTTGAAAACAGAAGTGCGCTTCCAAATATGTATAATGTGCTGATATTCTGACACTGGTAACATGCAATAAAATATTTACTTTCCAGTGGACGGACAGAGTATCAAGCCACACATGGGGCCAGGTTACGGAGAACCAGCACCTTTGAGCGGAAGCCTAGTAAACGCTATCCATCCCGGAGACATTCGACGTTCAAAGGTGGTGTGCTTTTCATTCTGCTTGGCATTTTATGTTATGATGTAGTTGGTTAAGCCCCAAGGAACTTAGCTTGCTAAAGCAGTTCTTAAAGGAACATTCTACTCTTCTACTCTTGTCATTCTGAAGCTTTTGACAAAACCCCAGTGGGAGGGATTCTCTTAATGGGAACCAGGCCACCTTTGCCGTCTGCTGTCTTTAGTTTTGACCATTGGACGTGTTCATCTTCTCCCTCTTTTTCATCCTTCTTTTCTTGTGCCTCTTCACTTCCGTTGTTCCTGGGACCTCAGGAATATCATAGGTTACCATGTTTTTTTGCCCAGATGAATGATGCTGTGTCTTAGAGGGAAAAACAGTTCTTCTCTCCTCTATCTTACAGTTTCAAATGGGACACCAGTCTCATGCTAACCAGAATTCGGGCCACTAAGAGCAGATCCAGAAATTTTAAGTCCTGGACTCTGTACCTGCAGTCAGTCCATGCACGTCCTGCCCTTGAATTTAGCCCGGACTTAGGATGCCTTCCCCTCCCCCCTTTTCAGAACTCCCTGAGCCTTAGTCTGTCATTTACTACTATGGCTTCATGCCTTTCTGAAGGCTGGTACCCAATACAGGACCAGTTGGCAAATGAGCAAGCTGGGCTTATTTAAACTTGGCCTCCACATCCTACCTCCTAGCTCTTCTCTGCCTACACTTGATTGTTTCTCCCTTCGGGACACCTAGTTTAGCACTGAATTGTGGGCTTTTTCATGGCATGGCCTCTGAACTCTCAACCCCTGGGGCCCCCTCCTACATATCACTTACTCATAGGTTTTTCTTGTATCACTCAGGACTTAGTGGGCCTTTGTCAGAACTGTACCTATACTTCACTCCCTTCTAGAATCTTTAACCTTGTGGGGCACCTGGGTGGCTCATTTGGTTAAGTGCCTGACTCTTCTTTTTTTGAGTGTAGTAGCTATTCCCCAAACCAAATTAAAAAAAAATTTTTTTTAAGGTTTATTTTTGAGAGACAGAGAAAGAGCACAAGCAGGGGGTGGGGAAGAAAGAGAGGGAGACACAGAATCCAAAGCAGGCTCCAGACTCTGAGCTGTCAGCACAGAGCTCGATGCAGGGCTCGAACTCTGAGACTGAGAGATCATAACCTGAGCTGAAGTTGGACGCTCAACCAACTGAGCCACCCAGGCGTCCCCCTAAACCAAACTTGTAATGTTTGTTTACTTTTGAGAGAGCGAGAGAAAGAGACAGAGCACAAGCTGGGGAGGGGCAGAGAGAGAGAGGGAGACACAGAATCTGAAGCAGGCTCCATCCAGGCTCCAAGCTGTCAGCACAGAGCCTGACATCAGGTTTCGAACATACAAACAGTGAGATCATGACTTGAGCCAAAGTTGGAAACTAAACCAACCGAGCCACCCAGGTACCCCTATTATTGAACCAATGGTTTAATAGCACAGCAGCCAGAAGCTCTCTAAAGTCATTCTTGGCTGCTTTAATGGAGAAAAAAATGGCCAGTGCCCAGGAAATATGGCCTCACCTTCAAGAAAGACCAGAGGGTGAGAGGATTGGGGGTGTGCCCAGAGAAGGGTGATGGTGGATGAAGGTGATTGACTGCAGGAACTGGGAGCGACAAGTGATGCAGTGGGGGAGAGAGGGAAGGCCTTGCTTCCCTGTCAAGCCTTCTACTTTCTGCCTGCAGTCCATGGGATCAGTGTTATCCAGAAACACTGCAAGTAAGGAAGAAGTTCCTAATAGTGCTGTCAAAGATAGAGCCATCTCAAGACTGTACTGGGCTCCCAGTCCCTGGAGGCCTGTGCAGGCACAAAGGGAAAGGCCCCTTGGTGTGGCCACTGCAGAGGGGAGGGTGTGTCCTATGTCTTGACCCATGGGTGGCTTTGGACCTCTTCTAGACCACAGGTTCCCTGATTCTCCTCTACTTTCTTTCCCAGTCTCCATCCTCTTTTTTTCTTTTGTGTTACTGGCATTTTTTCCCAGCCAGAGTTCTGGCATCTCTGTGAAGCTTTTAATGATTTTCTGTGCTACATCTTTTTAAATTTTTTTAAATGTTTGTTTATTTTTGAGAGAGAGAGAGAGCGTGTGAGGGAGGGAGGGGCAGAGAGAGAGCGTGTGAGGGAGGGAGGGGCAGAGAGAGAGGGAGACACAGAATCCGAAGCAGGCTGCAGGCTCTGAGCTGTCAGCACAGAGCCCAACGCTGGGCTCAAACCCAGGAACCGTGAGATCATGACCTGAGCGGAAGTCAGATGCTCAACTGAGCCACCTAAATGAAATGGGAGTCTAGATAAACAGGCTTTAGCTCTGTCCATGGTCCCTTCCACAGATTCACATCCTGCCCCAGCTACAAAAGTCTGCCCTGAGCTTCCCAGTACTGTCAGGCTTATATTTCAGCCTCTATCATCCCCTTCTGCGGTCTTTGATTTCACACACCTCTCTTGTCTCTGTGTCAAGACTGTGAACCCCTTGAGAGCCAGAATTGCCTCTCATTTCTGTATCTGAGAGCACCTGGCTCTGGGAACATGCTCGGCATTCGCTGAGTGAATTGGAGGGCTTGGCACAGTGGAAAAGAGACTTTTCCTCCAGAAAGAAGGAGGTAATGTGGAAATTCTGCCTCCTGGGGTTGGGACCCCGCTGCAACCACAGAAATCTCCACCCTAGTCATTGTCATCACGTGGGTAAAAAAAAGTGATACAGCTCTCTAAGATGGCATACCTTTCTGTTTTTCCTTTAAAGCAAGCAACCCAGTGATAGCGGCTCAGTTCTGGTAAGTGCCCCCAGACTCTGGGGTACAGCTCTTCTAATTATCGTCTTTATTTGCATTGTTGACTTTTTCTTTAATACAATTAAACCACAGAGTGAGTCACCTGATGATTTTCCCCTGCTTTTTCTGCTGCCTGACTATACCATCCTCCTGGTTCTCAATAAGTGCACAATGGAATATTCCAAGACTGTTTTTTTTTCTTTTTTAAAACACAGCTGCTCTGTTTGTGTAGCTTTGTGCTTTGTTTATTACAACAGTGGGTGATGAAGGTGAGAGGAATGTGTGCAGCGCGCTGTGCTGATGGCATTGCAGGCAGTGATGGGAAAGAAAGGCCATGCTCTTGAGCAAAAGCTCCGTGAGAGCAAATGCTAGATTCGCTCAGTGATGTGCAGATTTTACAGTCATACAGTGTAGAAAACCTTTACGAAACACGTTTATTGAATTTCGTGCAGAAAAAAGAACATGTCACAAGACTGAAACTCCAGCACAGATGTGAACAAACTTTTCCTGTGAAGTGCCAGGTAGTAAATACTTTGGACTTTGTAGGCGATGCTGTGTCTTTCATGACTGCTCAGCTCTGTGGTTGGCGCACAAAAGCAGCCATAGACAGTCCGTAAATGAAAGGACAAGGCTGCTGCATTCCAGTAAAACTTTACTCATAAATGCAGGTGGGCTACATTTGGCCCATGGGTGTGATTTGCCAGCCCCTCCCCCAGCACAGGTGTTCTTGATCTTTCCTGTACATGGAATCTCCTGGTGAGCCTTGAAACGTCCCCCTCAGCCCAGCCATACTCCAGGCTCATTGAATCAGTCTCTGGGCAGGGGACTCATGCACCTAGGGTTTTTTGCTTTTTTTTTTTTTTTTTTTTTTTTTAAGTCCCAGGTGATTCTAGTGTGTGGGAACCACCATCCCATTTTGCACTTGCCTCTTTTTCTCTCTCTGAAACAACTGCTTATGTGAGTTTTGCCCTAGGTGGACAGCTGCTCTCTCATGCTGGAGAATTACAGGCTGTCATTCCTTCCGCCCTGGTGTCCAAGCTCCAGGCACTGGCAGCCCAGTTTAGTCAGCCCCTTGGTCTTCCCAGGCACACGGGTCTCAGACTGCTGGGGAGGTCTTAGAGATGAACACAAGTTGAGTGTGCCATGTGCCCTGCACCTGTACTCGGGCAGAGCCCAGCATGTGGAGGAGCGGATAAGCCGGAGGCCTTGGTTGGTGATGAGGGTGCAGGCCAAGGGACCAGAAGGCCTCCTGCCTCGTCCCAGCCTTGCTCTAACCCAGAGCTGGGGCCTTAGGTCTTCCTGCTGGGCTTCCTTTTTCTCACTGAAAACAAGGAGTTTGGGCTAGGTCAGTGTTTGCCCAAACTTTTTTAGTCTCTGATTTTCGCCCCCCGGAAGAAACCTGACCTGGAAGTCCAATATAGAGAACAGACAAAAGTGGAGCTGCCCTGGGTGGAGCCAGGCAGGGAGGAAAGGGCTGGTGCCTGCCTGTTCCTCTGACATCTGACCCCTGTCCCCCAGGCAGCCACAAGACACCCGCAAGGGCCCCGAAGCGCGCTAGGGAACATAACCAGCCCCTTGTATCACACAGCTGGAGCTCAGCCCTGTGTCTCTGGTTCCAGGCTCTGCCTGCAGTGCCATTCTGTGAGGAGGCAGGCGGCCGACTCTTGTGTCTGGGTTCAGTTCTCAGCACCTGAAGAAGGGCTGCAGAGTCCTGTTGAACTGCCATGGAGCATACCCTGGCCCCCCGAGGGAGGGGCTCCCACATGGGTTCATTGTAGGCCTGTGGGCTCGCCCTTCTCTAGGATCCCCACTGCGGGTAGTATGCTAAAAGCATTTGCACCTTTCTCCACCTGTCAGTGTATCTTGCTTTTAATTCTCAGGGGCCTGTGAGTTACAACATTTCTTTCCTTTGCTAAGGAAGCGATTGTTTTGTTTGTTTTTCCCTAATAAAATTATATTTTCCCTTTAGCATCTAGTGGAGATTATATATATATTGAGCATCTAGTGGAGATTATTATATATATTGAGAACCAAAACAAACTTAAAAAAAGTGTCCACCAGGAACAAAAAAAACCCAGTAAATATACCCTTTAGGAACAAATGAGCTAATAACCACTGTTCGCAGCTGTTCAATTGCTCTTCGCAGCCTGTGGGATCCCGGGGTGAGTAGGATTGCTGTGGGAGCCAGGGATGAAATTGCGCTCTGGGCTGCAGAGGTGATACCAGAAAAATTGCACCTTGCAGAACACTTAACCTTCCAGATAAAATCCAGCTGGAGGTGAATCTGGCCCAGAGCCTGGCTCGGTGCACTGGCCTTTCTGGAAGACAGAGCCATTTAGACCCCAAGCAAGACTCATAACAGTAAAATGTTTCTCTCATTGTTGAAGCAATAAACCTTGATTTCGAGCACACCACCCTAGCCACGTAGCCCAACGATGGTGCCGTGTTTGTGTTTCTCCTGGCAGATGCCAGCCTTACGTAGGAAACACATGTGTTTTAAGTGCAAAGCCAGCCTGGGATTCTCTGCCCATATATGTGAGTACGTATAGTTTTTTTAACCAGAGTAGTTTTACTTGTGAGTCCACCAAAATAGGATCATGCATGAGGAGCGTGGTACCTTTGCTCGGACCGTCAGGGAGCCAGCTGGACTCTGTGGAAAGAAGGTGGGCTCTGAGATGGAGCAGATACCCACTCCAGTCCCAGCTCTGCCACTGACTGCGTAGCTGACTGACCCTGAGCAGGTTTCCCAACTTCTCTGTTAGGCAACCTTTCCTTTATCTGTAAAATGAGGTGGTACCAGTTATTGACCTCATAGCCTTGTGGTGCGGATTAAATAGTAACAGATGTGGAGCTCCCAGTACAGAGCCTTATATGGAATGAGCGTTCCACGGTGGTGGCCGGTTCGTGGCATTGTTCGTAGCAGTGGGACCCATAGCGGTAGATGTTCAGAAACGGCCGGTAGATGTTCAGCTCTCCCTTCAGTTGGAAAAAGCTCTGGGCGTCACTGGAGCCGTCTGGTGCCACCCAGCAGTGCCAGCGCAGACCTGGAATGGGAGCTAAAAGTACTTGGTGTGTCCCAACTGAAGGGACCTCCTTTTTGTCACCAAAGTGTGGCAAGCAGGATTCTGGAATATTACCTTTGTGTTTCAGTTTGTGAGCTCGAAAGTGACGAGTGGAAGTTGGTGTTTGGTTTCCTTGGTTATATGTTCATGTAAACAGCTAATAACCAAAAAGAAGCGGTGTTCGTGAAAGTTCCTAACAGTGTAGGTGGTGTTTAAGATTTATGATCGTTAAAAAATCACTAACAGTGCCGCTTTACAACCTGTTACATTACAATTTTTCCCTTCTTTTCTATAGCTCTAAAACAAATCCTGAAGTCCATAATTACCAGGTGAGATACTGCTTTTAAAGATTTTCCTGCATACTTCTTAAAATTTCAAAATTTTCTACATCAAGTAGTTATTATGCTTATAGTCAGATTTTGAAGAAATAATAACATGCTTTTTGTTGGTTGTGGGGTGGGGGGGGCTTGGTTTTTTTGTGGGTTTTTTTTTGAGAAAACGGTGAGAGGAGAACCTTCCTCTGTGACTCCTGGCCCCTCTTGGTCATTTCAGCTGCCTATTTTTTTCTTAACCTTATCAACTGGCAAACCACAGAGACATATGTTTAAGTTTCTGGGTGGTCACACACAACCTCTTAGGAGCGCTCAAGTGAGGCCGTGTTTTGTCAGCATGTTCTAGGCCTAGGGAACATGAGTCCCTTGAGATGTGCCTCCAGGAAAGGATGTCTCAGTCACACGTTTGGGAGATGTGTCCTTCATTCCCCTTCTTGGATCTTACAGTCTCCGCTGGGGTTTCAAAAGTACTGAGACATCCTGCAAAAAAGATAACGTTTTATTTTTTTTAATCCATTGTCTCCCCAAATCATTTGATATTCAACACCCCCTCCCCCAATCAAAAAAAGCTAGCTTCTCACCTACCCGCCTGTTTTTGATAGTGTATCTGTTATCAGTGGAGCATTGGTTTCCAGAACCTACTTTGTAAAGCATTGTGCCAGGCCTGTTTCCTGCAGAAGGAGCACAGATAGGTTTCTGTGGCTCGTGATATGCTCTTTTACAGGGTGGCCAACCAGGGCCCTCACCGCCTGCCCGCCTACCCACTCACAGTTACCTGGGGGTGGCTCTTGCTGGCCATTCACAGCCTTCTACAACCTGGCTCCAACTTGCTTTTCTACATTTATTGCCTTCCTCCTCTCTGCTCCTTATCACACATCATATGTTCAGCTCTCAAAGAATCACATAATCGGTGCCCCCAGAATTTCTTCCCACTGTTCCCGTTTCCGTGCTTGTCTGCCTGAAATCCCCTCACTTGTCTGTGCATTAAAATCCCCTCCAGAGTCCCCTCAGAAGCCACCTCCTCCACAGAGCCTTCTCTGATCCTCATAACTGGAAATCACCAACACCAGTAGTCTTCAACCCCACTGCATGTTAAAACCATCTGGCAGGCTTTAAAAACATGGCCGGTGCTTGGGCCTCACCCTGGGCTGAACAATCAGATGCTCTAGGGATAGATAGTTCTGGGCACCAGAGAGCTTCAGAGCTGCTAAGGGGGTTCTGATGAGCTGTGCTGACAGCATGTCCCTCACTTAGTAGGTTTGTGCCTAGAGGCAGCGGTCGTGTCTGATGGCCTCCTCACTTGGGGCCATTTCTCTCCCTGGGCGGGTTCTGTCCAAGGACATTACGCTCAGGTTTCCTCCATCACAGTCTGGTTTCGGATGTCACAAGAAGCTACTCCATGAGGTCACCTGGGAGCGTTTGTCCTGGTTTAGTATCTTTCCTGATCTTTTGTTACCGTAGATATTAATTTTTCGATGGGGGTGGGATCCTAATGTACGTGACTTTTACGAGGTCTCCAAATTATGTTTCAGAAGAATTTTGCCATATCATCTTCCATACATGAAATCATATTCCCAATGTGCAGAATCTGGACACGACTTCCTAGTTTGGGGGGAATAACATGTAAAAAGTGCTTTGAACCTGGTAGGGGAAAAGCTAGGTTTCCCGATCTTGTCTTTTTTAGGTTCTTGAATCTTCTCAGTCACAGATCAGCTTTTTGGTTTGGAGAGATTTTCGGGTGTGACTGGCTAGCTGTGGGGGAAGGGAAGAGTTGTGGACAGGCGGTCCCTGCTTGAAGGCAAGAAAAAAAATGAAAACAAAGCCCATTATTCCCTGCTCAGAGTGAATACGGAGGAAGTTGTTCACGGAACTCACATGCACGAAAACTGTTCTTGTAACATCTTTGGCAATCACTGGTCCCCCCCCACCTTAGCCATCTTGGAGGTTACGTGTTGCTCTGTCAAGGTTTGGGAATGAATTGAGCGGGAAGAGAACGTCCTGAGAAGTGGCCTGGTTGATAAAGGCTTGAGTGCTGAGAAGGGTTTTCGGGAGAATGGGAGTATGGAACATCTGTCTTATTGTGAGCTCAGTGAGACTAGCCAACTGCAAAGGATAGATTTCTGTGGTTTTGATAAGGACATCTCTTGGCGTTTGGGGAGGGACAGTTCTTCATTGTTAGGACTGTCCCAAGAGTTACAGATGCTTAGCTTTCCTCTTCTCTGCCCAGTAGTTAAAAGGTAATTTTGCAGTCATTGTGGCAAGCAAAAATGCACATATATATTTCCAGTTATCCCCGGGGGAAAAAAGTGCCCCAATGACCAACTGGGTTAACATTTAAAAATGCTGCCTGACAGCTTTAGAGTGTGAATAAATTACCGAAGGAGATCAAGGAAGGTTTGGGAATATCCTTCCAGGTCTTTATGGATGAGGTACCCACCTCTCCCTAATGAATCTGATTTGCTTGTGTTTGAAGACAGGGAGTGGAACAGAAGGTCCATTTCTATTCTACATTGTTCCCTTTTGTTGAAGATGCAGCCAGTGGAGCCTCATTTGGGGCCTGGCTGTGTGACCAAAACACTGGAAGCATTTCAGCTGTGGGCACATCTTCTAAACTCTAGGTGTTTGTCTCCCTAAGAGAGGTCAGCTTTCAGCGTCTGCTCCTGAGATCCTTTCTCCAGATTCCCTTTCCCCGTAGCCTGTGCAGGGGGCTGCACACTTAGCTTGCTGACAGGCAGCTCTGAAGGAGAGAGCTCACTAGAATACAGAACAGGCAGGGAGGGCATCTCAGTTTCCTGAAAACTGCATGAACAGAATTACTGAGAATTTTCCATAATACAGAACAGGCCTCTGCTTATTAACCAAAACAGCAGGGGAAGGAGCAGGAGGGGAAGAAATAATTAAAAGAATAATGGTGGCAAGACTGTAGTGACTTCAACGTCAGGAGGGTTTCATGTGCTCCACAGAAAGTTTAGCCTTGAGAAGCCCCGTGGCTTCTGGCCTTGCCTGGAGCCACCACCCTCTACAGGCCAGAGGCGGTAGACAGTCCCGTCACCCAGCCAGGCCTGCCTTGTCTTCACTCCTGCTCGTTCTGTGAGTCATCAGTCTGGATCCATTTTTTTGAATGGACAAATTCCTTCCTTCTTTCCTTCTGTTGTATCAGAACAATCAGTGCTCTGAATGGTGTGGGGTTTTGTTTGTTTTTGGTGACGGCCAGGTGGGCGGCGAGGTTTGGTACTAGGTTTTGGATCACATTTTAGAAAACTTTTCTTATTGCTTAAACAAGGGAGAAGGTGTTCGCCCACAATCCTGCTGACTTAATGTCCCCGTCCAGTTGTCTTGTGTTCGCAGATGTCACTGTTGCACACGGTTGTCGTCCTCTTCAGCAATGACAAAAATTGTTTCTGAAGAAAGAAATTGCCTACCACTCACCCCATATCTTGGGTGTCCTCCGTCTGTTCCCTCGGGAGAGATGAATACTTGCCTGTCCTGGGCGCTCTGGGGGACCCTTCCCAGACAGATGCTTTCCCCTTTCTTCCGAGGGCAGCCTTCCAGCCCCCCTGCCGTTGTCATAGGGGAAACGTGATCGTCCTGGGAAGCCACCGCCCATCCAGGGTTTGGTTATAGCCTTTCCAGTCACAGCCCTGGGCCCCTCAGCTGGATGCCAGTAAAAGAGAAACTAAATGAAGACCATTGAAATCAAAAGGTCATTGAATAATCAAGTTTGGTATTTCATTTCTAGCCTCAATACCATCCCAATATCCACCCCAGCCAGCCTCGGTGGCACCCTCACTCTCCAAATGTAAGGTAAGTGCTTGAGCTCACGGAGCTGTACTTACTTGAAAGTTCTCCCTTTCTCCGGAAAGGCTCAAATTCTGCCTCGTTGTGAATCGAAAGTCTGCATTGGAAACAACGGTTAAGAGCTGCTGTGTCATGGCAGAGATGAATAATTTGCAGAGCAAAAGAAGCCAGTGATGAGTCTGGATTTACCAAAGTTCTGCTTTATGAAATGAAAATGAATTGGGTTTTGTTTCTTGTTTTTTTAGTCGTTCTAACCTTAGATATTTTTGGTTTGGTTTTGTGTTAGAAATGTTGCTTAAAATTTCTAAGTAACATTTTCCTGTCCCAAGAATTCAGTTACTAAAAATATGCTTTGAGCTTGGGGATTTTTGTTGTGGGTTTTTTGAAAGGACTTTTTTTCAGGGATGGAGTGGGGGTTTGCTTTTTGTGATTGTGGATCTTTTTTCTGAACCTAGGGGTCAGTAAACTTTCTCTGTTAAGAGCCACATAATCAGTATTTTCAGCTTTGTGCTCTCCGTCACAACTACTCAACTCTGCTCTTGTAGCTTCAGAGCAGCCTCAGACAGAAGTGAATGGGCAGGGCTGCATTCCAATAAACTTATTTACCAAAGCAGATGGTGAGTGGGATTTAGCCTGAGGGCTCTGTTTTACTCACCTCTGCCCTAACCCTACCACAGTCCTTTCCAAGTAAACTGGCACCTGCCTTGCTGGGTTTCTAGTTAGGCTCGAGCGTGTTTTGACGCTAGCTTTGTAAAGGCAAACGTTCCTTTTAAGATTTGAATTTTAGATCAGTCTTAATTGGTGTTTATGTGTGAAGCTCTTTCTGTTGGTGAATTCACTTTGCATAAAGTTATTTCTTGGTAAGGTTGCTAGCCTTGCTGCTTGAGAAAGTACGGAGAATGGAATGATGGAAATAAATCCATTTGGAGTAAGGCAAATGAGAGCAATTAGTTCTTGAGAATTCTTGCCACTTTTGTTGGGGGGACCTTGGAGGAGAGCAGTGCTGTTTGATCGTAAACACTTGATATTTGGGTAGCTTTTTAAAGCTAGTCAGCCTAGTGGAGTAATAATTTTAAATGTTTCTGTGTATCGCGAAGGCAGTTTATTTTCCAGACATAAGAAACAGAGGAGATTTCTAGAAGTGCTATTTTTATTAACCTTGTTTTTACAGAATTTTACACTTCTTTTGGCCTGTTTTGTCACATTAGTCTTCCTTCTGAGGCATGACCTTGCCCAGCACTTAGCAGTGGGGATTCCAAGGAAGGCTGGAACAGTGCGCCTCACCTGGGAGCTTGCTGATGCATTCTTTGCCCACCCGGGCCCTACTGGGTCAGGATCTCTGGGGGTGGGGCCCCGCAGTCCGTGTTTTACCAGGCTCTCCAGAGTTGGAGAAGCACTGCCTGAGATACAGAGTTCATTGGTCCTAGGCTCTGGTAAACGCTGCCTAAGGCACTCACAGGGCACCGTAGCATGGTCACAGCCCCGAGAAGTGCCTGGGAAAGGAACCTTTTTCACCTGACTTCCCCCAGACTGAGGGATCCTCAAGGTGCCCTTTGAGAAATGCGGTGTGGCCGCGACCGAGCTTTTCTCCACTTGGAAGTTGGTAGATCACCCGCATCCGAATTTTAAACACACCTGAGCAAATCCACTCATTTCAGCTTGGAAGCCATCCCCATTCACACGGTTCATGGTTTTTCCCGCCCGCTTGCCTCGTGCTTGTGTTGTTTCACTCACATTTCTGAATTTTCTTCCATCCCTCCCGCTAACCATTCACTCTGCCGACAAAACAGGCCATGCTTTCAGGATGACAGGCCACACTGGGAAACGTCGGCCAGTGGCAGTGGTGGCCGCTTCGATTATGTCCACGACCAGAACCAGAAGAACTTAGGAGGAGTGCAAAGTATGATGTGCCGAGACAAACTCATGACTGCACTTTGAAAGACTGACACATCTCACCTCTGTTCACCAGCATGGTTTCATTACATTCCATGAAACATGTCTTGCCATCACCCAGACGCGTCCGCCAAAGTGTCCTTAAGGAATAGTTCTGAGAGGTGTTTCTGGAGTCCGTGTACATATTTGGAAATCTCCACAATCAGTAGTCACAATTTACTGTTGACTGCGTTCTCAATAAAATGAAGGTAGTGAAAGGCTCAGGAATCGTTTTAATATTCTGATTTAAAAATTGGAGTAAAAGTCTACGTTTGTCATATTGCTGTGTATTTGGTATTTCTCTGTTATTTAATGAATGGGACCAAAGAAAACCAGAAGAACTTAGGAAGAGAGCTCTTTGTAGAGTACCATACAGCCCTGGGGTGGGGTTGAGACCACTGGGGCCCAGTCCTGGCCGTTGTGAGATTGTGGACAAGCCTTTCTCCTTTGCTGGCCTCTTTTCCCCCATCTGGAAAGAGTGGGTAGGACTAAGTGATTGCCAAGCTCCTTCCAGCTCTAAAATTCTGTGATCGTATTAAAAGTTAATATTTTTAGTCTGAGGATGTAACATTCAAACTAAATTTCTCGTAGGAAAACTGCAAATTTCCCTTCTCTAACAGAGGGCTACCGCTTTCGGAAGCGCAAGAACGTATATAACTTGTTACATAAATGCGGGGAGGCTTTGAATTTCTGATCTTGAAGCAGTTCCGGCACATTGAATCTTAGCAGTTTTACTAATCATAAATTGCATAGCATCCCTTTTTGATAGAATTTGTTGCTCAAGTACAAGAATAATTTTTTTTTCAATTGTTGATCGGTGCTGCTAACTTGCATGATTTCAGAAGACACAATTGTGAACACACACTGTCAGAATTTATAGAATTTGAGGCTTGGTTTTTACCCTGGACTTAACTCTTTTAAAAAGCAACATGAAATCCAAGATAACATTTATGGCTCAAATTAAAGTGTGTAAGATTTTAATGAAGCTGTGCCAAAGCATTCTGTAGAATAGGATGGGATGGGTGTTGTACATTTTGTAGTACCAGCTATCAATGGGCTGTCTTTTAGGGTAGAACTTGTACCAAAATATTTATTTCCCCACCCCACCCCCCCCCCCATTTGAAGCCACAAATCAAACTTTTTTTTTTTCCTTGGTAAACCTGAGATAATTTTTCATTAGTCTTTTTGTGAAAAACGATTCTTACGCCATTTAAGTATATGTAATTGTAATTTGGCCCACTGTAAGCCTTTTTTAAAAAAATGTGTTGACATCTCTTAAGACACTTTATTGCTAAAATCTGATCTATTTTTGGTTACCACAAAAATCTGTCCAGCAGGAGGGGCTCCGCTGTAGGCCTTGCACGGCGGAGTCCTTCACCGACAAACTCTTCCTAAGATAATCTGTTTACAGGTGTATTCTGTTGTAGCAGATGTTTTGATCCTCAGTGTTTGTGCCGCATACAAATAAATGTGTTCTGAATCTTTTAATCTTAGTGATCCATTTTTACAAATGTGTTTCCAAGGAATAAAGATTATTCTTGCTTTTTTGGACTCCATCTTCATTTTACATTGCGCAGAAGTATCGTTTGTGGATGACGTAGGTAGTGGGATGGTGAGCTCTCCGAAGTCTGGAGGTGAGCATTCCGTTAGGTGACATGGAGGAAGTTCGTCCGAGGATGAAGCTGCCCTTGGGAAGAGCAGCTCTGGTAGGCACAGTGGCTGAAGCATTTCTTCATCTGGTTCATCTGTGGTGAAGGTTCTAGTAACTGGTCACAGGCTCTGGACTGAGTGAAGCGGTGGCAGAGTGGGTTTCCCTCATAACGGTCCTGTGATGAGGATGGGTGTTTGTCCTGGCGACTCACTGTTTCCGGTGGAAAGACATCCAAACCTGTGTCTGTGGCCTCCTGGAGACGGTGTATACAGATCCCCTCTAATAAATACCTTTCTGCTTAAAATAACTTGAGTGGATTCAGTTGTCTGCAACCACGAAGTCTAACCAGGATGCATACTTACGACCTCCTAATTGTTAAATGAGGTGCACGCTTTTCATCCCGCAACTCTGTGGACCTTCCTCTACCGCATGTGATGGTGATGGTCACTCACTCACAGCTTCTCGAAGTTCTGTTCCCTTGGCTTTTTCAACGTCTGCTTCTCCAGCTCTTTGACTTTTGCTTCTGTCTTTGTAACAGCCTCTTCCTCTGTCGTCCTCTTAAATATCGGTGTTTTCCAGGGGTCCTTCCTCTGCCCACCTCTTTTATCTCCATCACAGTCTGCCTGGGACTTTTCATGCTGGCACAGCTTTATGGCTGTTGGCCCTGGAACCCTGGTCTCTTACCCAGACTACTCCTACAAGATTTTAGACTGACATTTCAACCTGTGTCTCCCATATATACCGCTCAAACTCATGTCAGAAATCAAATTCATCATCTTTTGCTGGAGAAAAAAAAGACGTCTGCCCGATTTTCTCTCTTCTACCCGCTACACCATCCGTAGCTCTTTTCCCCTTTGCCACCTGCACCCAGGCAGTCCCTGGGTCTACTCAGTTTCCTTGCCAACCTTTACCTTGAGAGATGCTCTTCCTGGTCTCCCTGATTCCAGGCTCCTGACAGGCTCCTCCTGCTCACAGTCTCTAGAGGAATCTTTCTCAGGAAACACTCTGGTTGTATCATTCCAACGCTCCACATCTGCCAGGGTTCACCACCACCCAGAGGGTGAAGTCCAAGGCCTTCTTTATGGAATTCCTTTGCTATCTGCTTCCATCCTATTACTCAAGCCTATTTTGCCCCATTTCTCACCCTCCTGTTTAAACGTCTGCACCACCACGCTGCTTGTGGTTCCTGGCATTCACCATATCCTGCTGTTGCCCCGACCTGTGCTTTGCAAATCCTGTTTCTTCTGCCAAGAACTCTGTCACTCCCATCCCCTTTGCCCAACTGCCACTCACCCCTTAAACCTCCACTCAGGTGCGTCTTCTCCCAGGGACTCTGACCACCCCACCTCTGCAAATTGGGTTGATTTCTGTGCTCTGCTCTGTAACTTTCCCTCGGCCCTCCTATGGCAACATTGCATTCACT